CATGAACTCTGCTTTTTTTCGGCCTCATGACTTGTTAGTTTGTTATATCCAAGTTTTTCAACAATTTGGCTGGAGGTATGACAAAGTTAGTCGTACTGCTGAATCCCGTTTTTTGGCTGGAGCTATGATTCGAACTCGGTACCCTTTTGGTACGAAGCCATCACTCTACCAATTACGCCAGCACAGCCCACATGGATTTTTCTATTTTTCTGCCTCATGACTTGTTAGTTTGTTATACCTAAATATTAAATTCATTTGATCAACAATAACCAAACACAACGTTCGTCGTATTGCTGAATTACGTTTTTTTGCAGGAGATATGATTCGAACTCGGTACCCTTTTGGTACGAAGCCATCACTCTACCAATTACGCCAACACACACCACATGGATTCTACTTTTTTTCGGGCCCATGACTTGTTAGTTTGTTATATCTAAATATTAACTTTGTGTTATTCAACAATAAATAAATACCACAACGTTAGTCGTACTGCTCAATTCCATTTTTTGGCTGGAGGTATGATTCGAACTCGGTACCCTTTTAGTACGAAGCCATCACTCTACCAATTACGCCAACACACACCACATGGATTCTACTTTTTTTCGGGCCCATGACTAGTTAGTTTGTTATATCTAAATATTAACTTTGTGTTATTCAACAATAAATAAATACCACAACGTTAGTCGTACTGCTCAATTCCATTTTTGGCTGGAGGTATGATTCGAACTCGGTACCCTTTGGTACGAAGCCACCACTCTACCATATACGCCAACCCAGACCACATGGATTCTACTTTTTTTCGGCTCATGACTTGTTAGTTTGTTTATATCTAAATATTAACTTTGTGTTATTCAACAATAAATAAATACCATACAATATAGTCGTACTGCTCAACTCCATTTTTTGGCTGGAGGTATGATTCGAACTCGGTACCCTTTTGGTACGAAGCCATCACTCTACCAATTACTCCAACACATGCCGTACCAACCCAACTTTTTTTTGGCCATATGATCTGTTAGTTTATTTTCGTTTAAAATATACAATATCACCTACTTCGTAACGGTTTACTAATGTGTTCGTTGTGGCGGCGCGTTGGCAGGTGGGAGTCGGTGGGAGAGAACAGGGTAGCACGTTCGAGACGTGGTAAGGTAAGCAAGGTAAGAGTATCAGTTGTTAACGTAGATAAGTGTAAAGTAAGGAAAGAGATAGTAGCGTGAAGATGGTTGGAATATAAAATAGAATATTGTAATTGATTTAATAATTACGTTAATAAACATAAAGATATATCAATAATAATGAGGATGTCATTGTGCAAAAACAACATAGTTGGAAACTTCATTTTTATTGTACAAGTCCAAAGTTAAGAAAAAGAACATAGTTGAACATTTGATTTTTATTGTACAAGTCCAAAGTTAAGTAAAACTGACCAATATTTAAAGTATTTTAATTAAAATGAATTAATTAACACTTTGAATAATAGTATAGATTAAAGTGAGTGAACAATGTTAATATTTTTGACATGTTTGAAATGAATGAAAAACCATAGTCTATTTAAAATGGTCAAAGTCATAACTACATTAACCTCGTCGAAGAACGAATTAATGAGTATATTAATGTTTATATAAACATCAGCAAATATATTTATGTTTATAATACCTGTAAGGTGTGTCTCTAATATATACAACTAAAAATGGTGTGAAAATGGTGAATGAAACCCTCGAAATAAAGTTTAATTACTTTTATTCAAAGCTTCCAATCAATATATCACAGTACTTTAATAATACAATAATGAAAATGAAATTAAGTTATATTTACAGTTAAGAAAAGTGCATCATTCAAAGGATTAATAGAAAACGCAATATTTAATTCAGAGTATATTTAAGTCATCGGTCCGACACATATGTTTAAGGCACTTAAACAACACAAGGGATTGCAAAAATGCTTAGTGTATATAGTACACGCTTTACAGTCAATTTAAACATGTAAAAAAAGAAAACAAACTGTTTTACACAATTGTCTATACTAAAAAGTACACCCAATAAGTATCATTAATAACACGGGAAACCTCTAAAATTCGGATATGTTTAAATATCTTTGTAATTTACGTTACAAATTAAATTAAATACAATATATCCATTCATTATTTCATTAACATCTAAGCACTTAACTATTTATTACACAGTAGGCATCTTCTCTGGTGACAAGACGGACGGACAAACAGCATAATTAGTAGATCAAATGAATGTTTTCACTCATGAGGAACTTGAGAGTTGAAGAACACTTGGTTTAGCCTATAAACAAAAACAAAAACAATAAATTAGTAATAAGTCTCATAAAATATACTATAATAATAAATTATCTGATTAATCATTCAGTGATGACTTCCAAGCAACCTCAGTAAGACCTTCATAGTAAAACTCAACAAGTGGTTGTTAGTGAGGTTAGTCATGTTATTGAGTTAATAAGAGTTAAGTTAATAATGCATAATTATAGGCAGTTAAAAAAAAAAACACTTGCGAGTCATTCACATGAATGAGTATTTTGAACTCATTGATTTAGAGCTTCAGGGCGGTAATAGTTGAATTGAGAGGATCTGCAAAGAAGGAAGAAACATTTAAGGAATGTTTGCATTTATACTGGTATGAATAAACACATACCTGGTAAAATGTTTCTGGAAAGATTCCTGGTGAAGGAGTCAGTGTGCAGAGCATTGGTAGTTGATAGAACCCGGAAAAAATTAAACATGTTATTTATTGTTCACATTTATACTGATTATGGATAAAAGCATACTTCATATAATATTTTCAGAACGATTCCTGGTGAAGGAGTCAGTGTGCAAAGCAGCAGTAGTTGAAAGGACCTAAGAAAAGAAAAGAATTATTTTAGCAACGTTTGCATTTATACTGGTTATGGATAAATAATACCTGATAAAATGTAAACATTGATGTTGTATAAAGATTTCATAAAAGTGCTTATGCGTTACCAAAGAATCCCTCATGACGCTTTCCAAATATTTAATCGTTGTATCATTCTAGCTGATTGTGGTGTAATAATCACAGTGGCCGATAAATATGCCTAAAAAACAAATTTTGGTCCAAAAATTTTTTGGTCAAAAATATTTTGGTTAAAAAAATTTTAGGCCAAAAAAATTTTAGGCCAAAAAAATTTTGGTCCAAAAAATTTTAGTCAAAAAAATTTTTGTCAAAAAAATTTTTGGTCAAAAAGCTTTGGTCAAAAAAATTTTGGTCAAAAAATAATGGGAAAAAAAATTTGGTCTAAAAATTTTTTGATCAAAAAAATTTTTGGTTTCTAAAATATTTTCAAACTAAAGAAAACATTTGTTTCCAAAAGCTTTTTTCCAAAAAAGTAATTTTTTTATTTCTAAAATTTCTCAAAATTATAATTTTTTCAAAAATTTAATTTTTGGTACGGAAAGTTGCAGCAATTTGCCTTAAGGCAAGATGCCATACACCACTAGTTTATATTTAAAATACGCCTGATCACACAGTAAATTGATACATTTTCACAGTTTTCACTACCAATGAACAAGCATAAGATAGCATTGCCATGACAACGCTATGTTATGAGACAGAATTGCCCCAATAATGATTGAAAAGTAAGTTTTATAATATAAAAAAAACTAAAGGAATATATATAGTAGCTGGTCCGGCAAACGCTGTTTTGCCATAAGAAAACTTTTAGTATAAATCTAACTAATTAACTTGTAGAATGTAGAAAAATGTGTAGTGGTATATCAGTGAAATTTTATTAATTATTCAATTTTTCAAAAGTTAAATTTTCAAAGAGATAAATTAAAGAGATAAAGCTGGGCAACTCTTGATAAAAATTGAATATCCATATATATCCATGACTTTTTAACATAAAACATTGATAGGAAAAATGTGTATGTTTTTCACACGTTTGATTTAAGTGAAAAGGCATGGATCCATGATATACAAATTAAAGCATTTTCAAACAATTAACACTTTCAAGCCATATACCATACTTTCGACAATCTATACCATTTTTAGACATTTTTTTTTTCAAAAACTGTTCACAGATTTTAAAATTGATATTAAATTTTACAAATCAATAAACACTATGAAAAATCCATGGATAACTGTCCATGTAATATTGCAATATAAAAATTATGAAATTAATACAATTTAAAATATCTAATAATATCTAAATAATGATATATCTAAATTATAATTTCTAATTTGAAATTATAAAATTAGAAAATTATAATAAAATAAAATAATGTAAATATAAAATAAAAATATAATTTAAAATTATTAAAAATAAATATTTTTGAAGACACTAAGATGAAAACAAATTATAAAAATAAAATTAAAAAAAAAAATGAGAATAGTGATAATAACACTAAAACAAATAGAAAAAATATTTCAAATGACTTCAAATATGAAAACTAAATTTTTGAGCCTGTTATATTTAGATAGAGAATGTATATTTGTATTTATTTCTATTTGTATATATTTATTTTGATAAATAAATCAACTAAAGTATAACTTTGATTACCAGTTGGCTTGTGCTTGTACTTGTTCCAATCCAATCCAATCACCTTGCAATTTGATAATGCGCAATTTTTGTATTTCTGCAGGCGTATTTCTAAAAATAATAATAAAATTATATGAGTTATAAGCAGAATTGCACAATTGCAAATTGATGATAATAATTACTACTGTATAATTAAGACATTAACCAATTGACCAGTACCACAATTTATTGCAATATTGCATGGAATAAAACTGCAATATTTATTTTATTACAATAATGCAAAAAGTTATTTAAATTTATATTATTTTCGGTAATATAATATCTATATATATGTATACAAATTCACAAAAATCAAATTCTTTGGAATCTAAGTTGTTTTATTCAATTTTATTACTTTTTGCAAAAACTGATTAAAAAAAAAAACAAATTATATATTGTTATTTTTTAAATAATCACTCACTGAAAATTGAATTATTATTGGTAATAGTTTCAAGTCTTATACATGTATAGTTGAATGTATATTAAATTTCTAAAAAAGAATACATATGTTTTAGATTTGTTTTGTGAAATGAAATACTTTAAAACAACCATTTTAAAAAATAATACAAGTAAGAAAATTCATAAAATAAAAACATAATTGAATTTCAATTGATCGAAAAACAATTGAATAAAATACACACAGTAAAGGTAGCATTTTTCCTCAATGAATGTACATAAACTTTTGCACTTTGTACAAATATTACAAGCAAATTTGAGCTAAATCATTTCAAATAATGAAGAATTTTAAAAATATTTATCATAATCATAATCATAAAATATTAATTGTAAATTTATCAAATTGTAATGAAAAAAAAAACATCAACTGTTGTAAATAAATTCAGCATAATTGTATAAATTTTCAAATCCATCACAAAACAATTTTTCCGGATTGTTAACAAAAACTAGTAACGTACTATACAATTAACAGAGCCAATCAATTTTCGATGGTATTAAATGAATTATTTGTCATCAAACTCGAGCAAACACTTTTTTAATTTGGATAATCTTGCACATGAAAGAGCGAGTTGTACGTTGTACCTGGTTGTTCAATTCCCAGCTGTCAATAACCTACATGATAAATATATTAGGCTAGGCTAGGCACATGTACTACTATGCTATTTCTATTAGTAGGAAGAAAAGTTCAAAGTTTGTTTCCTGACCAAGTCCTACATTTTACTTCGTTACTTGCAATTAATAAATCAATACATTGTGTCTTTTGCAAAACAATTAAGGGTGCTTGAATTTAATTGTAAGTCCCGATGAATGGTTGCAATAAAAAAATTAAATTAGTTAATGCATAGCTATATAAAAACATTAGTCGAAACTGAACACGGCGTGAATGTGTTGAATATTTTAATGTGCTTTGCAGATGTCTTATAAATATGATGTGATGTAATTGTGTTTTCAAAATGATGTTCTGTTACAAATCAATATTGAAACTAAAAAATTTCAAATGATATATGTATCGGCTAAACTATGTGTATAAATATCTCAAACTGCGTATATAAACACTCTAAATATTATGTATATATTGTGAACTCTAAATCTGATAATACATGTTTTTGCACAATTGGCTTGTTCGATCGTCATGCAAAACTAATCAACATACCTTAAGTCAAATTGCCTGAACTGAATTAGACAACTACCGTTTGATGAATGCGATCACTAGGATCACTGACTCACAAACTTCATGCCATAAATAGTATATTTGTGAAAGGCTTCAACTGATTTCAATTGCTAAAATTCCAAGATGATTAAAGAAAAATTTAATTCTTAATCTGTAAAATACAGAGATTTGTATTGAATTAAGATTAACAAAATTGTAGATATATAATTATATACATACCTATACTCACTAAAGATTTCCTGCACTATTTGGAATCCATAAAAAATATGTCTTAATTGCTCCTTCATATTCATTTAAAATGAATAAGCTATTTAGTCTCCCCGCGAGTAAAAAAGAAGTAGTTCCATGATAAAATACATTTGCTTAAAAATTAAGATTGTGTGGTCAATGTACACTCCACCTCACTACAATGCAAGGTTCTCCTGATATATAAATCAAAGTGAATTAGCACTAGCATTAGAGTTAGTGTAATGACATTTATTAAGCAATATAGAACACTGATTTGTCAGTAAAAGATTAACAAAAATAGGCAAATAAATTCTCGGTGCAGGGTAAAGTTACTTAGGTCAACCCTCTTAACAAAATTATGCTACATTATTTTGTGCAATTTAATTTGAAAAAATTTTTAGCGGCCATTAAATTTATATTTCATGGGCTTTTGTTTATCACGGAAATATAAATTAATTTTCTTAATACTTTATGATACTTATAGAAATTGTGCTTTTCGTATGGTTAAGGCCACCTATAGCCTTAGACTTATTGCTAATACTACATAGAATTCAATCTAATTAAATTCTTTATTAATTACCAAGCCGAACATAATTTCTGAAATAAAACCCAAAATAAAAAAAATAAAAGAATGAATGTAATTCGCACAGAATGAAAAATGTTTATGCGATAACTGCAGTTATTAGCTTGTTGAAGCTTTGGAAAATTGTATCTCATTATTGCTTCGCATTTAACAAAAAAAAAAGCATGTAACACTCTGTATGATCCAGGTACGAGTATGTACAAAAAAATGTAATATATTATTCTAATTAAGTAAACTTTAATAAAAAAAATCTGAATCATGTAACTATCACGACTGGGTATAGTATCAGTGGAAACTATTCACAAAATGCTTACTTTTTAAATTATGTTTTACAAAGTCGTCCAGTTGTAAATGTATGCATAGTCGACTTAATAAGAGCTTGATATTCATCATTATTAAACAAAATACCTCCGGGCCACAAGTTAAGCAATGGAACAATTTGAGCAACCTTATCCAACATAAATCGAGCACACAGATAGTAAAACTATAAAAAGCAGCTTCATGACAATATTTCTTCGTGAAAATTCTTATTATTATTCATTAACTAAGTTAATGACATGACTAACTAATATTTCTTCGTGAAAATTCTTATTATTATTCATTAACTATTATTATTACTAAGTTAATGACATGACTATCTTAATGACATTTATAAAGCATTATGAACACCGTATTTGATACTGATACTCTGATAATGATTATATGGTGAATGATTTTGACAAAATTTAGGAAAGATTCTCACTCAATACATAATAATTCTCACTCAATACATAAATCGTACAAATTATATTTCACGTAGCACTGTTAAACACGAAATAAAGTCGTAGATAGTCCGAACGCGAAATATAATTTGCACAAGTACAACTTACCAAAATAATCATAGCTTCTTCTGGAAAAGGGTTTCCATTGTTATATGTGCCTCAAATGTTTGCTCCCAGCAAGTCCAAAAAGAAAGTGAAATATCTTTCTGGCAGCTCAGACGGATGTAACGGCATGTAACATAGATATATGTAATTGATTTTGATCCAATGTAGTCTCCACGGACTACCTTTATGTTTACTTATCTATGGACTACCTTGTCAATTCTTGTAGTCTCTAAACTGTTGTGAGTAAGCATTAAATAATTACATTTATGAAGCATTATGAACACTATATTTGACACTGATACTCTGAGCTAATGTAGTCTCCACTGACCGCCTTGTCAATTCTTGTAATCTATAAACATATATGAAAATAAGCAATGAAACGGCTGTTCGATCGTTATTTCGTAATCACCCTTGCAGTATTTCGAAGCGTGCCGTATGCATTTATGTTTGGCGCAATTTCGTTATGTTTAATAATAACTGGCAGAATGACTAATATTTGCTTATGCTTATTTATCTATGAGTATTTGACCGTGTATATTAAGGTTGTTTGTGACGATATCCTAATGGAAGTCGCCATGGACGAGCGGGTTGAAAAGATCAGGGTAACACGGTCGAGACATTAATAAAACTTAAAACAAAGGTATTTGTTCATAACTTCAGTAAAATTTACCTATACTTCTCTTTAATCAAAATGTAACAATTATATATCACTTAAATTTATTATTTGAACTATTTCAACTATTTGAAATACATAATTAGGTACTGTGCAATTAATTATTTATTGTTAGTAGCCATAAAGTGTAAATAAATATTAGTGTTATTGATATTGATTTAATTAAATATTATTAAAATAGCTTCGCAACTTGAAGTAGCATCACCTGACAGTGATCAATAAATGATATTAACGATAAAATCAGAAGTTTTGATAGAATCTTTATGAAGCAAGACTGACAAATTTTTTTTTAACCTCCCGTAGGGTAAGTTATTGTAATTGTCCAAAAATCGAAATTGAATTTTTTTTGCATTTCTCGACGTTTTGAAAGTTTCTGAACATTTTGGCATACCTCAGAAAAAATGGATGTGTGTGTGTGTATGTATGTATGTATGGATACAATTTTTCGGGCGCACGGATCAACCGATTTGAATGGTTCAACTAGTTGGTATTGGTATTTTGCCTTGAGGGAAGTTACATGAACTTCTCGATATGTGTAAAAATCGGCTTAATTAATAAAAAATAAATTAATTTATGAGTGATTAAAAGTATTCCGAGTGGATTAATTACACAAAATTGAAAACGAACAAACACGTTAACTCAGAGCATTTTCTAAAATCAAGTTTTCAAAAACCAACAATTTTTATATTTGAACCAATTTCCGTGCGATTTTAAATGGTTTAGTATGTTTATTAAGGCCAAGTACTTGTTATACCAAGTAAATCGTCTAATTTTAATTTTAGCTAACGTCAAAAAATCTACTCATTTTCTCAAACTTTGATGAATTTTTAAAATTAAACTACTTGTCGTAAAGCCGTAATATTGCAGTAAGTTGTATAAGACCATGATATATATCGCTTAAAAAAATTAATAAAAATTAGTTTTTTTTCAACAGTTAATTACAAGAAAACGACTCGGTAAATTTTCACCTAAAACTAATCAGTATCATTCCCAACTAATATCTTTTAAACCGTTTTTGATTTTTTAAAATCCATTCTTCGTTATAAAAATCGTTGACTTTTTTTTCAACAATTAATTATGAAGAAAAGTCCAACTAATCAGCACGATTGTCAGTCAATATCTATCAAACAGCCTTTAAATTTTTAAAATCAATTAAGAAATATGGTCTAAAATGTGGACGGAAAATTTTACACTGCTATTTATGAAGAAACGGCTCAGCCGATCGACGCGCAAAACTAATCGAGTTACATCTAATAGCATTTAAATTTTTGAAATCGGTTAAATTGCTTATTAGAAAACATCGATCAAATATCGAAAAATCGGCTCACATACGCACACACATACTTTTACCAAAGTTGGTCTCATTTGGTTAAAAATGACTTGAAATGTCTGGATAAATAATTTTTATTTGCTGTTTTTTATGTTAGTACAATTTTTTGACCGTTCGTTTAAATTTGAACAGTAAAAAATATTTAAAGGTAATACATTGTTAGACCCTGTTTTTTTTGTACCAAGATAATTGTTGTTTTGTCAACGAAGGTTTATTTTTATTAAGAGCCTTTTCAAAAAAATCTGATTTTATTTCATGAATATTGAGACCTTCAGTTGTCATGGCTTCCAGCACAGCCTGTAGAAGTAAAAGCAAAAATTAATCATAATAGTTGGTATCAGTATATATTAACACATAGATTGCATTGAACTGAAGAAAAATACCTCTTTGCACAATTTAACTAAATCTGCTCCTGAATATTGTGCTGTCATAAGAACCAGTTTATTTATATCCACATTTGGATGTAAAGGAATTTTCTGAGTGATTTTCTTCAAAATTTCCAACCTTGCTTTATCATCTGGCGGAGAAACATATAGGATTTGATCAAATCTACCAGGCCTCAACAGAGCTGAATCTAATGCTTCTGGCCTATTAGTAGCCGCAATTATGAAAATACCTGGACTTTGCACTACTTCACAACCTATCTAATATGTTTAAAACTTCATTATACAAAATATAAAATATCTAAACTAACAAAAGTTATAAACCTCAATACCATTGAATCTAATTTGTTGCTAATTCCATCCATCTCCATCAAAAGTCCTGACAACAATCTATTTTGAACCTCATTATGATTATCTGAACTACGATTACCAAAAATAGCATCTGAAAATTGAAAATTGTATAATTGTATTGTTGGATTTATTATTAAATAATTTATTAAACAACATTTTACTCACCAATTTCATCTATGAAAATTATGCTTGGAGCATTTTGTCGAGCTTGTTGAAAAAGTGATGTTAAAGTGACTTCAGCAACCCCCACATATGGAGAATACAATTCAGCAGCAGATATTGAGAAAAAACTGAAATTAATTTGCTTTGCAATCGCACAAGCCAATGTGGTTTTTGCACATCCAGGGGGACCATAGAGAAGCACTCCTTTAAATTGTATTATTTAAGCGATGAGTTGTATAAAAATAGGTGTTTTTTTGAATGTTTGATTGAATTGATTTTGGAAGGACCAATTTGTTGTAAAACACTTTAATTATAATCTTATGTGTTTATTTCAAATTAATTACAAATTGTACTTGTATTTACATGTATGAAATTAATTACAAATTGTAATTGTTTTTAATGTTTTAAGTATCATATTGATTGACTTTATTTTGTAATTTTTGAATGATTTTATTTTGTTTTTAATCATAAATCAGATGCATTGATTTAACGTGAACATATGTTTTAACAATAGGTATGCTTACAATTACATGAAATGTAGTCAACTATATATATATAGTGTTGCCTCACACAACAGGCAATATATTATTTATATAACACATCACTCAATAAGCCCATAGAATAACTAAGAAAACCCCTTTTTTTGGATCATTCTTTTTTAACTTCCCGTAGGGTAAGTTATAGTAATCGCAAAAAAATCGAAAATGAAAATTTTTATATATCTTTACGGCTCAGAGGTTTCTGAACATTTTGCCATACCTTAGAAAAAATGGATGTATGTGTGTGTGTGTGTGTGTGTGCGTAGTATGTATGTGTGTGCGGATACAAATTTTCGTCGACGATTTCGAGAACACGGATGAAGCAATTTGAATAATTTAAAAAACATTCGATCCGTATTGATAAGGAGACGTGCTGATTAGTTTTTGGAGAAGGCAGGTCTAGCCGTTCCGGAGATACGGGGCAAAAAGTGCCAAAAACGGTAACTCAGTTTTTAAGAGAACGGAGCGTCCGATTTGAATAATTCAAAAAACATTTTATTTGTATTGACTAAATAAAAAACTGTTCAAATTTTTGGAAAGACAGGTCCAACGACTTTGGAGATATAGGGGAAAAAGTAAAAAAATGAGCCATTTGGCGGTCAAAAATAAACATTAGACATATGCACATCAAATTATATTAATTAATAATTAATTAATATATAATTAATAAAATTAATAAGTAATTAATTTTTCAAAACAAAAAAAAATTTTTTTTTTAAACTTTTTTTTTTCAAAAAAAGTAATTTTTTGTCCAATTTATAGTTTCTTAAAAATCTCATTTTTTCAAAGTAATTTTTTTTAAAAAATGTTAATCGTTTTTAAAAAAAATAATTTTTGGTACGGGAAGTTCCAGCAAATTGCCTTAAGGCACGATGCCTTAATTGCCTTAGGACAGAATTCCACTTACAGCTAGTTTATTCAATATAGTTTCGTTCGAGAACGATATACCGATTATAGCAAACTTCAAACTTTTCGATACCATTTTCGTAGTATGATTTTATGGCCCAAAATTCGGCGATCACGTCTTCATTCGGCGCAGATTTCTCTACAGCGAGCATCCTTTGATCTAAGAACAGAAGATGGTAGATGGGGAGCAGATCTAGAAAATATATTGAGTGGGGAAGCGATTCGTATCCCAATTCATGTTTTTTTGCCACTGTTTTCGCGGTATTGTAACTTGGTGCGTGTCCTGTTGAAGTAACACTTTTTTCAAACCGAGCTGTTTTTTGGAATACGACCTTCAAATGCTCCAACAAGGTTAAACAATTGTCACTGTTATGGTCTGGTCTTTTTCAAGATAGTAGATAAATATCGTTCCTTGCGAATCCCAAAAAACTGATGTCATAATCTTGCCAGCTGATCCCCTGTGTTATTCCTCGCCATCATGTCCAGAACACTCGACTGACTATCTAGTGGTGTAGTCAAATCCATCCATGGTAAAATATTGATGCAACAGCTCCAAATTCTCTTTCAAACCATCAACTCACTATGATTTTGGTCAAATGTGAGTTCGCGCAGCAGTCATTGTGCACATGACTTATTCATATCCAAATACTCGTTAACGACATGTCCAACACAATATGATATCTTTTTAGTGTCAACTATCTCATATTGTCATTTTAGCTCATAGGAATCTTTATGTATTTCTGATTGCTAAATAAAACTGAGTTTAAAAAAAAAAAAAACTATCTCAGGCCATTTCACTTTTCGGTGTTCTAAAACAATTCGCTGGACTTATTTTATGTTTTCTGGTGTGACCACCTCGATTGATCTTCCAGAACAATTAGCATCATCAGAGTCTGTACTACAAATAAAATCAGTAATCCACTCTCCACCATTTGCCGTCAGAGTACGGAAAACAATTATCAAGCCATGTTTTGGTTATGATGGTATTTTTATCCATAAAAAAACAATGATAAATCAACACACAAAATTGCTTCGAAATCATTTTTTTCAAAAACTCAAAAGTAGCGTCACTGCAACCCCTGTAACTTCTAAACTAATCATCGGGTTGTCATAAAATTGTGATAGATATCTTCTTAAAGTTGGTGCTTCACACAAATCGCATGGATTATTACATAGCAGCACCATCTTACGGGCGTCATCCTACAGACTTATTGGTTATTATATATAATATACATATATATAATATATATATATATATATATATATATATATATATATATAATATGAAAAATTATTTTCATCTTTTTATGCACTGACAAATAATTTTTTCACATTATTTGCTATGAACAACAAATATAAGATCAGTGTAAATACAATCACATTATTTTCTTGATATCTTTTATATTTCCAACAAAGAGTGAGTTTGGAAAAAAGGGCAACTTTCACACGTTTTCACTGATATCTTGGCCAAATGATGAGATAGGGAGGAATGGCATCAAAATCATTCAAATACCAGGATGGAGCCAATTCTGTATTCAAACACACCAATATTGAATTGCCTTTGATATTGAAGTATATAACGTGAATAGTGCGATACATTAAAGATTTTTTTTTTCTTTTAGAAAATATTTCGAAACACTTGGCACTAATATATATATATATATATATATATATATATATATATATTTATATATATATATATATATATTAGGGTGATCCTTAAAATGGTCATTTTCGAATTTCTTTGCTCCCAGGGGCTCAAATGGTTCCAAATAGATAAAAAACAATTCTCTGAAAGTTTTATCTCTTAATATTAACGTTTAGATAGAGCGCAATTCAATCAAACTTCGTATGGAAAGAGCATGGAAAAAATTTTGAAAATTTAAAAAAAATGTTTTAGGTATAACTTAGCGACAAATGAATAAGTTTTATTCATTCATTAGTTCGCTAAATTACATCTAAAAAAGTTTTTTAAAATTTTTGAAAATTTCCCCATGCTATTTCCATACAAAACTTTGAATTGCGCTCTATCTCAACATTAATATTATAAATATATATATTGTTGTGGTATTCACCCTTTACAATATTTATAAATAATATTATAAATTCGATGTAATAGTCAATATGAATAACGCAATTGGTATGACTAAGCTTGCGATATTGTACGCAACAAAGTATTACAGATAAGCAACATTGTAACGAGCCGTAACGGTTTCTGCGTCTCAAACAAACACCAATGAGTCATTCCTAACGGTAAAATAAGCGAACCTTCTAGAAGGATGATTGCGTCACCATCGGAGATTATAAAAGCCTGAAGACGAGAGAATGCGTGGTCATTCATAGCTTACTTGCCAAACAGTTCACATCACTCTTATTCAAAATATCAATTGTGTAATAAGTGTAACCAAATAATGAATTAAATAAAATTTATAAATGTCTTCAGATGTTTAATTAAATATTCCACAGTGGTAAAGTTTATGATAGCAGCAGAAGAACCTAAATTTTAATTGTTGACATCGTTGGACGCAACATAATTGTTGGTGACGGCCTCAACATAAATTGTTGTTAGCCCAAGGGTGCACAACAATATATTTAACCTGACGAACTCCGTTTCGCCACCAGATGGTTTCGTGAGAAAGATGAAGAATTTGTTTGTTTGTTTTATATTTGAAAAGGAAAAATTTGATTTTATTATACAACAGTAATGAATTTATTTCAATTTCAAAAATGAAGTGTTTTTTAGTTGAGCTTCTCTAAGTAAATCCGCAAATTATCCGTTTCATTGAAGTGCTCTTTAGTAAACCACATTTTTGTTTTTTGGTCTGACAAAGCGGATGGTTTTCCAACTCGTGAACAGGCAACTTGTAACTGCCCATGTGAAAAACAATGATTTTCTAAATAATCTATTTGAAATTTATCCTGCAAACACTAAGCGATTGGCCTTGCGACTTATTGCGAACGCAAGGCGAACTGGAAATTGCAATCGTTTGAAGTCAAACGGAAGACCAGTCAGAATCATTGGTATGTCACCAAATCGCCAGCAATTTTTGATTGAATGGTGAAATTCAGTACGTGTACATTGTTATTCTTTGCGACAAGAATTGCTCGTTGACTTAACCAAGCATAATTCTGATAATTCTCACTAATGTCATTACTCGAATTTTTAATTACGGTGCGTGAAGTTCCAGCAGCTTGCATTAAGGCACGATGCCATGCACAACTAATTTTCTTAGCTATAAACCTTGCGGAGCTCGAGACCTTTCCAACGAATGCAAAATTGTCGAAACCGGTTCGTGCGTTCTGAAGTTATTTCGTCAGGAAGGAAAACCCGACATATATATATATATATATATATTATATATATATATATATATACATATATATATCTTACCCTACCTTTTGGTTGTGCGACGCCCATTTGATTGAATATTTCTGGGTATTTAATAGGCCATTCTATTGCACGATATAGCAAGGATATTATGGCATCTAATCCACCAATGTCTTTTAAACTCAATTCATTTTGGCGTAAAACAGATGAATATATTTGCAGAGAACTAGGATAAGTATTATGTATAATTGATGTGAAAATCTTTTTGAAGTTGGCAAAATTTTGGGTTATTATCTAGAAGAATACAATAAAAAAAAATAATATTTATTAAGATAACACTTTGTATAATTAAATATTTAGGTATTTATAAATACCTCATTTTGTCTGTTTATGTATATTTGAACTTTTTGACATACTAGTTTTATGTCAGCACCAGTGTAACCTGGAGTAATACGAGATATAGATCTGGAGATTTGTATAATGTCAGGTCCATTTAATGCTTGGCCAAATGTATGTTTTATCCAATACTCCAAAATGTTAAATCGATCATTCTCACTTGGAAGTTTCATATGTATCTAGAATAAAGTAAAATATTTAGACACTATGAACAAAAAAGATTAAAAAAAAAATTACCTCAACATCCAATCTACCTGATCTTCGTAGCCCCATATGTAAAAGGCTAACATTATTTGTTGTTGCAATTATTAATAAAGTAGGCTCACAGAGTGCATCATCTAAAAGTTTTAACAGTTGGGAACTAATTCGAGTAATATGCGCAGGCGAATTTATTGTTAACTTTGGGCATAAATTTTCTATATCTTCCAGCAAAAGAATACAAGGAGCTAAAATAATGTGTGATTCATTCAATGTACAATACACATATTTTGAATTTTATAATGTATTAAAGCTAAGTAGCTAATATAAAAAAAAATTACCTCAACATCCAATCTACCTGATCTTCGTAGCCCCATATGTAAAAGGCTAACATTATTTGTTGTTGCAATTATTAATAAAGTAGGCTCACAGAGTGCATCATCTAAAAGTTTTAACAGTTGGGAACTAATTCGAGTAATATGCGCAGGCGAATTTATTGTTAACTTTGGGCATAAATTTTCTATATCTTCCAGCAAAAGAATACAAGGAGCTAAAATAATGTGTGATTCATTCAATGTACAATACACATATTTTGAATTTTATAATGTATTAAAGCTAAGTAGCTAATAGTAATTAGATTCATCATAAAAATATGATCTTGATCATTTTTTGCACTGAAAAGTAAACAAAAGGAAGGCCTTATCAGGATTTTTTTTATGTTAAAACTTATTGACTATATCATATTATAAGGTTGTTCGGAAAGTCACTTTGTTTTTTTATCACAGAGGATTTAACTATATTTTTTGAACCCAACATTACGCTTGAGCTTATAATTATATGATAAAAGCTTATATTTTTAGGTTTGTGCATAAAAAATTATAATGAATTAGATGCAGTAGTTTTTAGAGGGTGCCACTTTGAATACGGAAAGCAGAGCAGCATTTTCAACATATTTTACACTTTTGCTATAGAAAAGGTCAAAATACTGTTTAAATCAAAATGAAATTTATGAATGTGTATGAAAATGAAGTGTTGATAGTACAACAGTGCCGAAAATGGTTTGCTAAATTTCATTCCTGGTATTTTGATGTCGAAGAGCTCAACATCCAAGAAGTTAGGTTGAAGCTGATAAAGACACGAGAAAGGCATTAGTTGATGCAAACCGGTGAATAACAATACATGAGATCTCTTTCAGTTTGAATTTATCAAATTTAACAGTTCTTCACCGTTTAAAAAGTCTGGGATTTTCCTAAAAGCTCAATGGTTCTCATAGAAAGAAACCTGTGTCTTCGCCTAGCGTCCGCTATTCACCTCTGAAAATATTCAAGTTTTGAAGCAATTTGTCACCAAGAATTTCAAATAAGATGTAAAGATTACAATACACGCAATTGCTCATGAAACAAAAAAGAAGATCCCGTTCAAAGCAGGTGCAAAGCTGAAATTTGCCTGAAAAAGGTTTGGTAAGATTTTAAAGGAGTTGTTCATTTTTCAGCTTTTTCAGGATAACATAACAGTTAATTCAGATGCCTTATGTCATCAGCTGGTTAAACTAAATGATATACTTTAATAGAAAAGGTCAGAATTAACCCACAAGCAAAGTATAAATTACGTGTCAAAATGTCTATAAAACACAAATTTACTTTCCGAACAACCCAACATTATAACTTTTTTTAATTCAAACATGATAAAGGATTATTATGAATTCCTCCTAGATATGAGGCTAATATTATTACATTATTATACCTACATACATCCATCAACACTCAACTGCTTAGCATTATGAAATACTTCTCTTAAATGCTTCTCAGATTCTCCAGGATCTTGTTTAAACAACTTTGGGCCACTTAGAGATACTATAGGTAGTTTAATAGTTGAGGCAATTGTATAAATTAATGATTTTTTACCTATGCCGCAAGGTCCTACAATTAAAAACTAAAAATTGGATTATGAATATAAATTCTTAATGTTGTGTTAAATTTATATTTACGAATTACCTGTTTAGATGTTTTAAATTTGATTTGTTTACTAGAAATGAGAAATTTATTTATAGCAATTAGTTGAGATAATTTTTTAATTTCATTTTCAAAACCAAATATTGGATTATAATTTGGTTTCAAAATGTGCTGATATTCTTCAAAACTAAACAGATTTAAGATTTCAATTTTACTTATGTTAATCACCTTTCCAAATTTCAAATTTTCTCTTGCATCATAATTCGAATTCAAAGTAATAGAGTGAATAACAACTTCATTTATACCAAATAATTTAAAATATTTCGAACCACTCAAATTTATTTTGCAGCCAGAGCAAAAGACATAAGACTTCAAAACATATCTTTTCAGCATATCTGCAAGTACTTTTTTTTCTTGTTTCCATTTTAAACATGTTTCTATAGAACAGAAAATCAGATCTATTTGTACAACATTAATTCCATATACATTAGAAATCGGATAGAAACTGGCTATGGGTATCAAAGGCTTCACTATCTTAATTTCCGAGTTAATTATACAAAAATCATCAGGTATATTTTTGCAATATAATTTGCAAACATAATAAGAATTCATATACGGTAAAAGAGCATAATTTCCAACATTTAATCCGAGCTTTTGAATATTTTGTTTCGACAAATACACTTTTTGTGAGGTTAAGCACGTTGATTTGCGTTGTTCTACACTTATTTTTATACTTTTCAACATTGTTATATTATTTGATTCTTTAGACTGTTAATATAAATAATGGATTAGATAATAATTAAACTGATTAAATTTAACTAAAATTTGTTACTTTGACAGGTACATTACCGCCATACTCTTCTTTTATCTTTAATTATTGCTACGGGCACTACATTGCTATGGCGCTTCAATCGCATATCACTTGCCATTCAAATTAAAGCGCCAAAATTTGAAATAAAAATGTTTGTACTTTAAAAATAATATTAAATTACTGTTACTATTAAATAGTAAAAATCGAAAATGAAAATTTGTATATATCTTTACGTTTCAAAGGTTTTTGAACATTTTGGCATACCTTAGAAAAAATAGATATATGTGTGTGTATGTGCGGAAATGGAAATGGGAAAAACTCTCACACTACTTCTTCCCTGAATCGAGTTGGAGTTTAACTCAGCTCACGGACTTGCCCTAAGGCAGAGCACTCATTATTATTATTATTATTATTATTATGTGCGGATACAAATTTTCGTCGACGATTTCGGGAACACCGATCACCCGATTTGAATAATTTAAAAAACATTCGACTCGTATTGATAAGGAGATTGATAAGGGAGTGCTGATTAGTATTTGGCGAAGGCAGGTCTAGCAGTTCCGTAGATACGGGGCAAAAAGTGCCAAAAACGGTAACTCAGTTTTTAAGAGAACGGAGCGTCCGATTTTAAAAATTCAAAAAACTTTTTACTTGCATTGACAAGATGAAAAACTCATTAAATTTTTGGGAAGGCACGTCCAGCGGTTATGGACTCTCAATAAAAATAAGTTACAAAAATGTCATTTGGCGGTCAAAAATGTTTATTGGACATATGCACATCAAATTATCAGATATTTTAATAATGTGTGCACATTTATTGTAATTTTTTTTTAAAGTTCCGTATCAAGATTTTTAATTACGGTACGCTTCCAGCAATTTGCCTTAAGGCACGATGCCATACACCCCACTAGTTTTTTGCCTATTTTGACAAATAGTAAACCATAATCGAAGATTCAGATCTCACTCTCATAATATTTCAGAAATTATAAAGCTTCACTGGGTGCTGTAATTTGCATTTTCTCACAAAATTGCAATAAATGAGGGTATTGTATTGACGTGGTTTAAAACTAAAAGCTACAAATAAATATATTTATTTATATACACAAAGTTTTATATTATATATTATACAGTAAATTTTACATAGTATATAAATGATACATAATAACTAAGTCAATAAATCACTAAATAACTAGACAAATATATAAATTATTCCTCATCTCATTTCTTATAATTACATAAAAACATATATAAATATATATATATATATATATATATATATATAAACATTATATTAATAATAATAATATATGTAAATATATATATATATATATATATATATATATATTTCAAAGTAACTAGCAGCCCATTCGTCAAAATAAAAAGGTAATAAAGTATTTAAGAACATTTATTTATACGTTTCGACACAAGATGCGTGTCATCATTCAGCAACTACAATAAATTTGAAAAATTTTACTAATAATAAAAAAACAGTTATAAAATAATTATAAACATAAAGAAACATTATACATACCACCAGGACAAAAACACTTAAAAAAAATTTGAGTGTTTTTTAAGTGTTTTTGTCCTGGTGGTGAGTATAATGTTTTTCTATGTTTATAATTATTTTATAATTGTTTTTTATTATTAGTAAAATTTTTAAATTTATTGTAGTTGCTGAATGATGACACGCATCTTGTGTCAAAACGTATAAATAAAAGTTCTTAAATACTTTATTACCTTTTTATTTCGACAAATGGGCTGCTAGTTAGTACTTTGAAATATGTTTCAACGTCGAAAAAACTATCAAGATATATATATATATATTTATATATAAATGTGAAATAGTTTTTAAATATGTAAGCATATTATATAAAAAATCAACAGTTTTTAAATTTATTTGATCCCTTATATTGATGCACATAAGTTAATTACATTATATATTTTCTTAATTAGACATTTTAATGTCAGATATAAAATTCATTATTTATGTAATAAATTGAAGTTTTTACATATACCTGACTAGAATAAAAATGGTATATATTTATTGAATGTAGTAAAACTCAAAATCATACGTGTTTTGTTATCAACTTATAAAAACAATTGCAGTTTTGAAAAAGATATAATTTTAAACAAAGAACTGTTCTCGTAATTGCTAAGCTTGAACAATTACAAAATTGATGTATTTATATATTTACATAGAAACTATTATATATATATATATATATATATATATATATATATATATATATATTTATATATATATATGTGTGTGTGTGTGTGTGTGTGTGCGCGTGAATGCATAGTGCATACATAATATTCATTTTATATTTTTTTACTTTATAATACTCATTTGTTGAAATCATCTACATATATAAATTTTAAATGCTACTGTAGTTGTACAATAAATTTAATTTCAATTCAATCACTCTTGTATCGTCCATACAAACAATTTGACTAATTCGTAACAAAATTGATCTTCACTTATCAATGGTTATGCCATATATTATTATATTAAGTAAATTTTCAAGCAGCAAACATATTCTACCTAAATGTAAGCATTCCACAATTTCACACCACATCTGGAGAATATAATTGCATTATATCTTGAAAACGCCCATATATTCATGGCTTATCAACAACTTTTTTTTATTATAAAGTAAATTTTCTTTAATGTTTTACAAAAAGAATATGCATAACAACATACACATACACAAAGACACAATTATGTTATATTATATTGTAATAATATTATATATATATATATATATATATATGTTTGTGTATGTGTGTGTAATGTTCACATACACATAATGTAATCAAAACACACATAGCTGCAAACTTATTTTCAGATATAACAACATTTGGTATATAAAAATATTTACATGCCTTCCTAACATATCTAAAATTATATATTTAGTATAAACAGTGTGTCAATAACAAAATTTGCAATAACAATAATTTATGTTCTGACAAATATAAATATATTTGTAAAATCTAAAATTAATACCACATCACAGTTTTTTTTCCCACATAATAATGTGTGCATCATTTGTATTAGGAACCACCTTGCCTGATTGTTGTCCAGATTGTTTTTGCTTTTCATTTGCTGAAATACAACTCTGAGGACGCCAATTAAAATAACCTCTACCGCCACTTATAGTTATTATTGTACGCTTTGAATCCTGAGCGTTCACTGTTATTCCGCGTTTATTAGAAATTTTAATAGTGGTATTTGCATTAGATGTTGCAGGAGTCAATTGACTGCTTGGTGGTAATACTGAATTTGAAGTAATATCTGGCGTCAATCTTTCAGATGCTGCGCTATTATTACGTGAAACACCACGCCTAGAAGCAGCTACCGACTCCTCACTTCCTGAAGAAGTAGTACAGAGACCAGAGGAACTTCGAGAATCATCAGGAGACCAGTTGGATAAGTCCAGTGAGCGCGGCCGACCACATTTCCAACGTAGGCGCCTGTCCAATGTGCTCACTTTGCCAGGGATTGCTGCTAATTCGGGGTCGCTGCGTCGTAAAGGACTTTCGAAGGAAGTTACTGTTTCTTCATAGTCCTTAATATACATTAAGTCCCCATATAGTCCATATACATCGCAGGTGTCTCCAGAGCCTTGAGAAGATGTTGTACTAGCGGCGCTGAACGAACCGAGACTGCGCGGAAGAGTCTTCGAACCACGAGAAGCAACATCGCCACCACCATCCTTTGATCGCCGGCGACGTAAAACTACAGGACTGTTGGCTAAATTTTGACGTAATTTCACGCTTACCGAAGCAGCATTATCATTCATATTTTTAGTTTCACTTTTGTGTTGTTGTGCTAATGAGTTATTGGTATTGTCATCAAATGCCTCAACTTCTTTCCTTCTAAGCGTACCCATATCATAGTTTTTCGGACAATAAAGCGGTAAAAGAAAAGTAACTGGTCCACTGTGCACATGATAAGATACATCAAATCGTCCGATAATAGGAACACCTTCTAATCTAGGTAAAGGTACGGTAAGGCAAGCTCCAGTGCTTGTACCAACCCAAAGAAGTCCTTTGCATGCCATAAGTGCTGTAACTGTTATTTGGGCATTTCCATGCAACTCTCGGTTTGTAGTATTCTGTGCAACACGGGCCGCATCATTTGCGATATCAATATCCTATGTAACAAAAATAAGTTTTCATAATTTATGTTTTGTCTTCGAGGATATATATATTCCGTAGTAGTAATATAATACGAAACAAAGAATTAAATAAAATGGGAATAGTATATAGATATATATTCAATAGAAAAGTCCTGGATTTTTTCAATATATTGATTCTTTCTTTTCCGAACAGTAAATCCAATAATAAAAAACAATTTGTTTTTTGAAGATGTTTAATAACGACGTTTCGGAACTAGATACGTTCCATCATCAGGTTTATTCTGTCAAAGATAATGTTTCTTAAAAACTATTGATTAACATTAATTAATGATGGTTATTACAGATTATTAAGAAAAATTATAAAGGAATGGATTATGTACCAGTGTAAAGAGTATACATATGTATGTGCATGTATATATATACATAATAATATTTCTCAACATTTGCTAAAGCAATACATTCCCATTTTTCGTAAATTACCGATACAAGAGCCATTAAAAATTATTTTTGCCCAAGTCCTTACATCTGGCCGACAGAACTCCATCGGGAAAAAATCGAGTGTTTTTAACAAAAAATATTAGTGATATGGATATGTAAATTATTACAGGTAAATAGTTTTTGCTTCTCAATTTTATATAAAAACTCTTTTAGTTAATTTTTATAACTCTTTACACTGGTACATAATCCATTCATTTATATTTTTTCTAAATAATCTGTAATAACCATCATTAATTAATTTCAATCAATAGTTTTAAAAAACATTATCTTTGACAGAATAAACCTGATGACGGAACGTATCTAGTTCCGAAACGTCGTTATTAAACATCTACAAAAAACAAATTGTTTTTTTATTATTGGATTTACTGTTCAGAAAAAAAACAATCAATATACACACATATATATATATATATATATATATATATTTGAGTGTGTGTGTAGATAGATATGATACTTTTTTAAATTTATTACCTGCAAATGCCTGAATGTTTCACAATGATACAAACAAAGAATGCTTGAATCTCTGAGAGCTACCCACAATCCAATTCCAGAGAGAGCTAAATGACTTACAGTCTGAGAACTATTATCTTGACGAGTTATATTAAAACTTCGTAAAATCTCGCCAGAATGTGCATTAAGTAACATTACCTAAAATAGATTATATGTAATAATTTAAGTTAAAAATGAAAAGTATAGCAAGTTATTAACCCTGCTCACCTTCCTGCCACAGGACACAAACAATCCTGCATCAGTTGTTGGTAATAGTGATGTGATTGGTTCTGAACCCATATTTACAATTTGCGGCTCTCGTAGAGGCCACCAACTTTTGTCATTGCCAGAACGTCTAAATAGTAATTGAATTAGAAGATCTTGTGTGATCCAAGTCGAACCAAGTGATTCGAATCATTCGAATCAAGCCTTTAACGACTTGATTCGAATCAGATTTTACTTGATTCGAATCAACTCGTATCAAGCCGCGAAATATTTACTGTGTACATGTATGAACACAAATTTTCATGATTATAAAAAATATGTTTTAAATTAATACAATATTATAATAATATAAATAATAATAATAATAAATATAAAAAATAATAATAATAAATATAAAAAATAAATCTTGAATTAAATCATGCGAGTCACCCGGCTTTAATACGCTTAAATGTATCACCCGACTCCAATTTATATGACTTTAACCGCATTCATTGTCGTCAAGTCGATATGAACTCATCCGAGTTCCTATGACTCAAACCGACTCATTTCGACTTCAAGTCGATATGAATTCATCCGAGTTCATATAACTCAAACAGAATCATTCCGACTTGAGTTCGAAACATGTGTCCGTGTTTTAGCGTATCGACTTATCGAGATGCAGTGCGTATGGGTCTTGAGTGTTTGTTTATTTTTGACTAAGAGCTGAGAGCAAATTTGTTCATGAAATATCAAAAACTCATTTAGATAATAAATACGCGATTTAGATTTTAATTAATATCAAAATAAACTACACAACGAGTTTTATACACATACGAAATTAGCATATTTTAATTATGCAAGTAATGGCAAATTCACGCAAATGAAATAATATCAATCTTTACAGTAGTGGATTGAATTTTAAGTCATTCGTAAGACGTTAGATTCAGCCCCCTGTTTAGATTAGATCTAAACAATCAATAATATACACATGCATTCGTTCAACGTAAGATTAAGAATATTGTTTTATATGGTTTAGTGATAGAGAAGTGTTTGGTTATATTTTACTGTAAATTCACTTGAAATATTAGTTATATTTGTAGCTAGTTTATTATTATATATATATATAATATAAATGTATTCATCTCTGCACTTTTTGGAATTATTTGCTTACTAAATTAATTATTTCACTTATGAAATTATTAAAATGATATTATTTCTTCTCTTAAATTATAATTGTTCATATATGAACTTGATTCGAATTGATTCGAATCATGATTCGAATCACTCGAATCAGGAAATTTGCGAGTCGGCACATCACTACTGTAAATATATAACATGGAATAATACAGTGGATAGACAAAGAAAAACGATGATCGATACAATTATTAAACATTTTGTTTATACATAAACCTACCTGTAAACAAGTACATTCCCATCAGCTAAGCCCACGAACGTCGAGTCGCAATGATACTTAAGACGCGTAATTGGTGCTTGAACGTTTGTCTGATATACAGGATCGGCTTTGTCCGGATCGTTAGCCGCATAAATCATAATTTTTCTAGCGTCTGTACCGAGCCACACAGCGTCTGGCGGGCCGCGAGCATGTTCTAAAGCAGTTACGCGGGTTTCGACCAAATGGTGCGAAGCACAATCCCGCAATGTTCCAGCGTTTGGTGTTGCACCGCTACTGGCACCGCCACCACGTTGAGACACAGACAAAACTGATAAATGGCTACTAGCACCATCACTTGTGCACAGCCATACATAGCCGGATACAGCACCGCGAGAGCGCGTCCTTCCTATAAAGCAATTTCACGAAATTAACATTAAACTGATTATTTGGTTTATTTAGTATGTAACTTAATACAAGTATCACTTATATTATAATATTAAAAGATTAATGAGTTATCTATTATAAGCATACCGCAACTATATTTGAATTTCGGCTGGTAAATGGATGATTTTCGACGGTTACCGATAACCCATTAATATAAATTATTCTTTGGTTCGTCATTTTTTAATGCATAAGCAAACTAGCTGTAAGTGGAATTCTGTCTTAAGGCAATTAAAGCATTGTGCCTTGAGGCAAATTGCTGGAACTTCCCGTATCGTAACGAGATGATCGAGGAATATTAAATGTTTTAAAATAGATTATTATAAATATTGTAACATTGTCTAATATTTATAAAAATTAAATAAACTGAATTGGAAAGTTGAAATTATTTGTTTAAGGTATATTAGAACAGAATTAAAATAGAAACCTGAATTATTTTCGATATACAAAAAAAAAAATTTAAAAAAAAAAATTGAAACAATGTTTTTTTTTCAAAATCAATTATTTTGTTAAAACAAGCAGAAAGTTCTTTGAATCATTCAAATCGGACGCTTAGTTCCCTTAAAAACCACAATTTTTTGCACATTTAGCTCTGTGTCTCCGAAACCGCTGGACCTGCCTTTGCCATAAACCAATCACCACTTCTCCCCGTTATTGCAAATTAAATGTTTTTTGGATCATTCAAATTGGATGCTCCGTTCTCTCAAAAACTTAATTTTTATTTTCTGCACTCTTTGCTCTTTATCTCTGTAACTTCTGGACCTGCCTTTGCCAAAAACTAATCAGCACATCTCCCTATCGATAGGAATCGAATGTTTTTTGAACCATTCAAATCGGTTGATCCGTGCGCCCGAAAACGTGGACGAAAAAATGTATCCATACATACATACACACACACACATCTATTTTTTCTAAAGTATGCCAAAATGTTCAGAAACCTTCAAAACGTCGAGAAATGTAAAAATTTTCGATTTCGATTTTTGGACGATCACAATAACTTACCCTACGGGAAATTATGTGATAAAAATGACGAACAATTGCAAGACCATGTACTTTTACCAGTAGAAATCATTAAAGTTAAATACTAAAACTTACGAAAATTATACCTGTATTAGTAGGAGCATTGTAGTAACAACCGCATTTAACTTCAGCTTTATGTTGTGAACGATAGACGCAGTGAGATCTAACAAATAGTGGCAATCTGGTAGCAGGACGTCGGGCAGGCGATGCGTCGCTTGTCAACCAGGCAGGAGAATTGTTTGGGTCGAGAGCGAGTTGGGCCAGTCGTAGTTCAGTCAGCCAATCTCGACGCACAGCCGGACCTGCAGTCTGAAATGTGTATGTCTCTTCTTTTCCGCCACGCGGAGCCCTGGCAATCAACTGTAGGCAGCATGAATCTAGCCATGCCATTTCCTCATCTTTTCGCTGTTTTTAAGTTAATTTGAATACATAATAATAGACTAAGAAATGAACAAAGTAATATATGTCGTTGTATTTATTGAATAAAAAATAAATTAGAGAAAATAATTGAAGATCCGTAATTCTATCAAATTACCTGTATGGAAGACTGAATAGTTTGAAGAATACGTTTCGTAGTGTCAGGTTGTAAATCAGGATAGTTTCCTTTCAGAGTATTTACAATGGTTGCTATGCGAGATATCGCTTCATAATCGTGCATGAGAGCGTTCATTTCTCCACACAAAGAATCCGCCCCGCCGCCATCTGTACCGTTGGTTGACTTTAGCGATCCGCCCCTGTTTAGCCCTGCACAATATATGAAAAGGTATTTAAAATAAATTTAATATGGTAAAAATAATATACAGGTATTAGACTATAAAATAAAGCGTATATTTACCGGCAGTGAGTATCCGGCTTAACGTGGGACTAGCGCCCGAGTCTTGAATTTCTACATCCGCCGCTGGATGCGTCCACTTGAAAGTTAGCTTCTCCACGGCACCAAAATCAGATGAATGGCGAGGAGTTACGCTGACACACACAACTCTATCATTCAATAATAGTAATCGTCGAGGCTTAGATTTTGTTATCATTCCATTTTGATTATACTCCTGATTTGAGAGAACAAATTTATTACAAATTTGATTGAATAAGAGGCAAAGAACAATAGAACTAACTTTTATTGTTATGAATATAAGAAAAAAAAGATTAATTACCAATTGTGTAACATCATCTTCTCGGATAAGATACCGATTTCCATCGCTGAGAGAGCGAGCGTTGAGTACGCCTCCAATACGAGCCAGCGTTTCGCAGAACGCTTGGCTTTGCTCTGCTTCGCGTTTACGTTCGTTAAGCATTTCCGCTAAAGATTCGAGCTGCGTCAAAGCCAATTGCAAACTCATGCGGTCATGATGACCCTGAGGAGTATCTTTCAATAAATCCTGAAATTCAGAGAACATAATATATTATTCAATTGATATATTTCAATTTATTCTCAGTATTGTCCCGTCAATTAGTATTATCTCATCAACCTTAAAAAATAGTTTTTATATGAAAATACATTATATTTTTTCATCGAAAGACAGCAATAAGTTTCTATTAATATGAAATTGTAATGTTTCAAGTATAACATCAATTTTATATAGGCGTTACAGGGTACTTTATTATAGAATATTCAGAAGAAAAATATAAAATTAATTAAAAATTTAGGTTAATTTTTATAGAAATGTAATGAAAATAATTAAAAATAAAATAAAATCTTCGAGCGGGTTTGGAACTCCCGAGCATAGACGCAAAGATTAGAATTAGATACCACTACCTTGCTACTGATATGAGAAAGCTCTCCATGTTATGTGTTCAACACGCTACTAAAATGCAAACTTTAATTAATTTTATAATTAAACCGCTTTTCATAGGCCTTTAATATTTCCCACGGTCAGTTTGGGCATAAAATTTACCAATATGCCACGTTATTATTATTTGCCGGTTCTCATTGTTAAAAAAAATGCCGTAATATTACAAAAATTATATTTATTTAGTGGTTAATAAATTTTAAAATATATTCATGTGCAATGTCTATTTTACCTGCAAAAACATGATGAATTGCGGGAATCTCTGCACTGGTTTCACCATAAGACCGAAGAATGACAGCCTGTCGTGTGCCGTCATTTGCTTTACTTTAAAAAAGTCTGCCAAAGCTGACTTTCTTTTAGATTCCATTTTGGCGAGTTCCATCGCCACAGAGAAATTATTAATAAAGCCACTATAGATTTCCAAAACTGTACTTTTGGAAAATGTACTAAAAAACACATCGCCTAATCGCTCATCACGATCCCAGGCACGAACACGCTCCGCTAACGCTAATCTAAACATCGAATGGCACTGTAGGATTTCAGGCAGACATAGGAATAATGTAGAAATCTTCGCTGAATTCAGTATAGGGGGGTTGCTTTCTTCCAGCGGTTTTTTATAGTCCTATACGAGAAATATAAAATATTTATTTTAAGTCATAATTTTTTCGATTAATTCGAAACAATCGATGGATCACACGGATCACTTACGTTAACAAGGCGCTGAAGAGTAGCAACATATGAATTCTCGCTATGGACTATTGACTGAACTATTAGCCGTCGCTTTCGTTGTAATTCTGTGAGACCCGGCGGCGGCGGTGGCAATGTTGGCGGAGCGGTTCTTCGCAGCGGAATTTGCTGTTGCAAAGCCGTCGACGTCAACTCACTGTTAGGTGGTAAAGATCCACTGCGATTCGCGTTGTTCACACCGCTACTGCCCGACGTGGTGGACGGCGATCTTCCATAGAAAGAACCTTTGCCTCGCAAAGCTGTATTTGTTACAGGTACACTGTCTTCGTCCATCTAAATAAAATTAAATAATTAAGCATAAATATTAGTAATTTACTCTATATGTGTAATAAAAACAAAATTGATATGAATATTGTCGCTAGATATACCTCCGTTAGTTGAGGCATCTTAGATGAGCCATCGACAACATTGTGATTATTATTAGTTGCTGCAACAGCTGCAGCTAATGCAGCGGCTGTAATTTGCGCGTTGTTGGATGTTGTAGTGCCTCCTAAATCATATTGATGCGAAGAACCTCTTCTCATTGAAAACCATCGCGATAAGCGCCCTCCAGGCGAGCCATCGCCAGGATGAGCAGGATCTGCACCGGGTTGAGCCATTCCAGGAGAATTCAAAGATCCGTTCATAGAAGATGAGCCCGATGAACCTCCGGAAGAGCGCCACAGAGTGCGAGCTTTATTCAAAGTCGATCGCAGTTGACCGCGACTAGAGCAAGAAAAGAAAACACATATGTGTTGAAAACTTTGCAACACATGAACTACTTTTTTATATTTTTGTAGTGAATTATTCGCATACACAAACACGCACGCGCCCACACGTTTTCGTTTAAATATAGCGAAAGCATTATTATAATGCGAAAAAAGTGAAATTACTATATTAGGTACTATAATTAATCATATATATTTAAATAAGCATTTTAGTTGTTTATTTTTAAAATCTGCATTGATGTAATCAAAAATCGATCATATGGACGAAGGGCATAGTATTTATTCGAACGTGAGTGTATCATAATAACTGCAACGCCTAACCTATGATCTTCTAAATGATTCTAATATGCTAAATTGATATGACGCGGAGTTCGCAGAACAACTTTTGAACTATTTTTTATTTTCCGAAGTAAGATACTGATTAGAATTTATATGCTATTTACTTTGTATACTTTCATTGTAAAGCTAATAAAAATGTATCCAGTACATGGTGTAAATTCTCAATAAAAAATACGAAGAATTTTTATGCCGTTTACTTGAAACGGTCATCTCGACGAATATCTTTACATGTTGCAATAAATGATGTTTTCCAAATGCAATTCACATTAATTATAAAAAATATGGTGAATACCTTGTTGTTGAAGCAGCACTGCGATCGCTTTCATCGTCAGTAGAAAGTTCATGATCAGAGTTAGATCCCCAGCTGTCCTCTGAGGTGTGGGTTCTGCCACCACCGGTGGGCCCTTTACGCCGCCGCCCGGTGGAGGCTCGAACCGAGGCTGACAGTGTTGTCAGAGGGTCCTCCCAGGCACCCAGATGAGGTCGTGGTTCATCTGGAATAGATATTAATATAACGTTTGCGACAAAATCAATAACACACACACACACACACACTATTGCATATATTGCATGATTTCTGAAAGTCTAGTAATCGGGCATAATTTTTTTTTATTGATGTTATGCCCGATTACTAGACTTTGTTAATATATATATATATATATATATATATATATATATATATATATAAACAATATATACATTATTTTAAAATAAATGTAGTATAGATTTCTTATCACTTGAAAGTGGTTACGTACGCCATAAGCGCCAACCAATATTTATAAAGTTGTATGAGAAAATCGTGCAATGAATGAAACCTAGAAGCGCCGGCAGTATCGCATGTCCCGATGCATAAAATTTAACCGCCTTTCGTACTTCCTTATTATTTATCAGTTCAGGGAGAGACAAGGAAAAAGTGAAAGCACCGTCTTCATATCGGCAATTACTTTATAACCATTTAAGGATATCAAACAGGTACTCCTACTTGACGATTTGCTAGTAATGCTAGATTAGAATAATATAACATAAAAATGAGTTTTTACATTTTATTCCTGCAATTTTACAACTAGTATGCGATGGAGATAAATATTCAGGTCATTCAGTATACTTTTCACTACTAAATTATACAATATTTAATTTATTATGATTTGCATTTTTATAAATATGATTTATTAATTTCATTGTTAATTATTTTATTATTACATATCTGGTTTTATGTGTTTATAAATATACCTTTTTTTGTAAATGACGCGAATAGAACCATGTTATTAAGTGCAATGTGTTAAATAGCACTTAATAAATAATTTACAAAAATTTTGATTTATGTACTATTTATTTTAAGATCGTCATCAAGCTTTATTTCCAATTGAAAATAATAGGTGCTTCAGACATAAGAAATTTCTCTATAGTATAGAATATATACCTAACCAGTATTTGTTTCAAGATTAAATAGTAAAGATAAAAAAGTGAATTTATAAATATTTTTCCTTCTACACCCAGCCTCGAGCAAATCAACTATTATCGATTTTGCAATCAGCAATAAATGTAAATTGATATGGAAACGGTAGGATTTCTAGTATTATTGAATTGATTTTCTCTTACGTTACATTGCTGTTCAGCAACCTATTGAAATCCATGTTATGATAATGAACACATTTATAAGCCCTCTCTAGATCGAGTTTCACCTGAGAAAACACCTGCGCTCGTAGGAAGTTTATATTTTCGAATAAATGCACTTTCATTAGCTATTTGATTATTTAGTATTGCAAAAGATACATGAAAGTTTCTGATGTTATGACAATTTGTATTGATAATAATTATAGCATTTATAACTATGTTGTTCAAGTTAAAATCATAAATATACAATAGTAGCTCATAATGATCGGCTTGAGATTCTCTTTAATAAATTGACAAAATAAATAATTATGAAAGCCTGAAAACCTTATTTTCCTATAAAACCACTGCAGCTGGAAATATTTTGAATTACCACCGATGATAAAAAAAAATGTTGCAAGTATAAATAGTAAAACATCAGAATGCGAACTAACATAATTATTGAAAACATTTGTACTAAACTTTGTAAGGACAAATAATTACCATAACAATATGATTATAATTTCTATATATTAATTTTAGAGAGATAAATCTTCATGTCAGCAATCAAAATGATATGTTATATAATCTTAAGTAAAAATATGACATCGCTACTACTTGATATCACTACTGCTAGCCTAGGTAGGTATCGAACTCGGATCAAGTGGATGCTAAATCACGTTCTTACTACGGAGCCCATATAACTATCAAAGATATAAAATTCAAAACTGCTTTCAAGTTTACCACTATTTAAAATACAAATATTTGTTATCGTAAATATTGTATTTACATTAACAAACAATGTAAAAACAAGAAGATAATTTCGGAACATTAAGTATTTAAGAATGAAAAAAAAATCTCAAACTTGTTTGTAGATAGATAATAAATCCGGAATGCAATTTATTCTAGCGAAAAGATGGTGAATATTCATAAACAAATAGCATTATGTATCAACAAAATATAAACAGAAAAGTATATCATTTGAATAATTTTTTTAATATGGTGTTAGAAAGACTCGATGAAGTATGATTTTGAATACAATACCAAAAATGTATTAAATGAATTATGAATTAAACTTAATATGATTTATTACTGAATTAATTATCGCATTCTCTTATTTTTTGCTTCATTATTTTTTTTTGAATTATTATAATTATCTGTGGTAAAAATAAATAAAACATTAATAGTAGTCGTAACAGTAGATTAATATAAGACATGCTAGTACTAGCATATCAATTTTTCTAATTAAATTATATTAACCTCTTGAATTGAAGTCTATTATGAAACTTTTAATTTTACATAAGTAAGAATTAAGAATGAGACGAATTGATTTACAAAATACTTTAAGGAAAATTCGGTGTACAAATTAATTATCTATAGAAAAAGTACCCATACATAATACCAAAGTGTGAATGAAGAATATTTAATGAGATTTTTGCAAAAATTATTTGCATAAAAATTAAGGTTTGATCATTGGATATAATGTTATTAATTTAGAGCAATTTGGATTCAAGTTTTGATGCTCTCTATTCTTGTAAATATCTTATAGTTTAGGATCAAATATTAGACAATCAAGGATTAAATATCAAACAATTATTGTACTTTTCAGTTTAGCCTTCGCATTAATATAATTATGTACTCCTTTCAATTGTTAAGTCAACAAAAATTATCAATATATCCCAAATTCGCGATTCCGAAAATCTTAAATACTGTTCTGGATGTTTGTGTAGTCAAGCGTCGTCATGAATATTAGATGATGCTAAAACGTTATGGATGTTAAATTTAAATATTCAAGAAGTTTTAATACAAAATAGAATTTCCACGCAATGTGCTACAGTATTTGTGATAAGCAGGAAAAAGACAATGGCATTTAAATTTAAGAAGATAATTCAAAATGATCAGAAAATAATTTTGTAATTGATTTACTACATTAGAGCATCACACACTCAAACCACTCAAAAGAAATTTTTATATACTGATTTATACAAACATTAGTAAATATTCATTTACATTGATAAATAATTATGCATACTAGAAAATGAAATTTAATGCAAATGAATTAGCAACATTTTCTACAAAATTTACTCCAATAATTACAAGCATTGCATATAGGTACGCACCATTACTATCAAAAATTATTAATATTTTTTTATACAATTGGTATCTAATAGAAAAAAAAAGGATTCGAAGCAGTACATAACAGTTCTTATTTGTTTAAAAATTTACTTGGATTTTTCACATATAATTATATACATTCGCGAAATTAGAGCTAGAGAAGGTGAAATATTACCAAATGATTACTATTCCGAATTCTTTTCTCCTGAGCCGTTTTTTTTAATGTGTAACAGTTCTTTTATTATATCACATACGAAAGTAAAAATGCTATTTTATTGGAAATATCTATATAAGAGAAAAAATAAAGCGATGAACAAATTTCTGTTATTAAAATTGCATGCGGAATATAATGACACTAGAAGCTAGAAATAGAATTTCTTGAGATCGCAGGAGAAGCTAATTATTGCAAGAAGCAAACTTGTCATGTATATATTATTCAGTGCAACACAGTTAAATTGCAAATTAAATGTAAAATATGTTAACAATCGGTAGACAAATGTACGGACATTGATCATATTTATTTATTCATATAAGATAGTAATGAAGTATGAGGGTTGATGTACTCCTTATTAAAAATATGATGTACTGTGTGAAATTATTAAATATTTACGTGTAAAATTGATCTTTATATCAACGTTGTTAACAAGATTTAGTTCATTTGATAGCATAAATGAACGAATATAATTTTCACGGTGGAATATGATTTTCGGTGCGAGAGTGTGTACAAGAATTCTTAATTATCTCCCTAAAACGCAGCTCAGTTTTGCCAAAAATAAAGTCTTGAGGAAAATTTTCGGTATTTTATTTGATGCTTCCATTGAGGAACAGAATAATGGTTGAAGTAGCAAATGCCATGAAAGCTATATATATTCAAAACAAAACATTAACATAAATTCTTAAAGGATTTGTTTTATTATTTCGTGATGAAAATATTTTTCAAATATAGAATTTCATAAAAAAAAGTCTATATAAAAAGATGCAGTAGGAGGCAAAATTTGTGATATAATAACAATGTAAATGTAAAATTTCTATGCAAGCAAATATTACACAGTGAGTAATTGATGCCAGCAATTTACATATTTTAGCATCTTTACGCGTTCGCATAATTTTGCACGGCAATGCTAATAGTCTTGGCACAGAATAACGAGCTCAACTTATTCAAATGAGAAATAGACTTATGTTAAAATTCCTTTATAAGAACGTTAGTATTTTGATTTACATTCATTGCAATATATTAAATTTCATTTAATATCAAACCAAAATTTTGATAATAATAAAAATTAACGAATGAGTTAATGAAATTTTAGAAAATAAAAAACTAATTTAAATAAATTTAGAGACGAGGCATTGAATATCATATTTCTACAATAATCATAAGGTGAAAATGATTCTACTATCGCTAAATAATAATACACAAAATATGATGATTGAAGTGTACTAAATGGGCTTCTCCGTGGCCTAGTGGTTAGAGCTCCAGACTTCGAATCAGAAGTTTGAGAACCTTTAATTAAATATAAATTATTTGCGTTACTAGCAAATATTATCTATTTCAAATATTTCAATATTCGCGTTGTCCTATTCAATTTTGTTATGGTATTTCGAAAATTTTGAGTTCTTCGCAATACTTTCCACTAATAATTCAATTAGATGTAAATATAAATCTTGAAGCTAATATGAAAATGATTACAATTTGTTAATGTTAATTAGGGGCTGCCCATTAATATCGTGAGTTTCAAGCATGTTTTACCTTCCCCCATCCAACATACAAAAAGGTGCAAATTTAAAAAAAAAAATTACTGCAACCCCTTGTTATGCTTCTTGTTTTTTTCTGTCAACCGCTATTTTAGCCTCACGTGAATAATGTAAGACTCCTAACATTTTTTTATTTATTCCATATTATATAACAATCAGAATTATTTACAGACCCTAAAAAAAAATGTTATTTCTTAGAAAATGATTTGAGAATAATGAGAAAGAGAAATCACATTCAATTTCTCCACTTCAGATAAAATTAGTAATTTAAATGATATTTGAGATTTCGATATGGTTATTACCAATCATTATTAACACTATTATAGCTAAAAGCTTTCATTAGTTGAACAACGCTTTCGACTAACTACACAAACTAATCGACGTCCTAACATCTCAAATCAAATTACTTCATGTCCATCAATATGTCAATGTATGAGCCTTGGAGTGGATATCTAGATTTCTCTACACTCGAAACTCTAAGCAAAGAAGAAGTTGTTCGTTTCGTTATTGATGGAAATTTTTATTACGACAGACATGACGAAACTCGAAGAATTGTGAGTGATATCGAATTTACTCCTTGGAGAATTCGCAAAAACCCGGCAACGAGAGAAGATCACGCCCTCCCAAACCCCTCGCATCGACCTTGAGACAGATAGTCAGTCCGTGACCTTAGAGAGAATCACACAAAAACATACGAACGCTCGAACGCGATGGAATGGATGCATAGTATTACATGGCAACCCATCCATTACGACATTTCGGTACTAAAAGGCACCCATTCTTAACCTACTCGCACCCTCCAAG